CCGCAGGATTTTTCCAAAACTCCTTTACAACTGACACAGTCTCTGTCTCATCTGCATGCTTTGTTGTCAAATTCCAGCATGAAATGTTCTCTTTTATTTTAATTTTTCCAGAATATTAGAGAGAAGAAACTGCCCTGTGGTTAACAAGGGAACTGGCATCCAAAGGATGACTGAATGTGACTCCAGCCTCTTCCACAGACTTCCTCTGTTTTCAGGGAAGTCATTAAACCCCTCTGTCTGTTAGAGTCCCATCTGCAAGACAAGGAGGATTTAATGCTTTTCCCTCATTTGAGTCTCAACCTCTTTTTGTGTTTACAGGGCACCAAATGAGGCTTCAGTATTAGTTGCAGCTTTAGGGATTACCATTAAAAAGTTAATAATAACCAGCCATATTTCATAGAATCATAGAATGCTTTGGGTTGGAAGGGACCTTTCAGATAAAATGTGATTTGCAGTTTAATATGCTCAGTAACAAAGACTTTACCAAGAGAATGAACAATAGCCTTTTCCATTTTACAAAATAATTTGCCAGGCATAATAAGTGCACCAGCATTTTTATAAAAACAAATTAGAAATAATTGCTTTTTGCAATTTAATACACACATAGAAAAAGCCAAAAGAGCTGAGCAGCTACCAGGAATCTGATTTCATTGTCGATTTGGACTGTCTCTGCAGTTTTTATGAAAATCCCTGAAGACTATGCTATTTTGTAAACTAAACATGACTGCTTTTTTTTCTTCTTTTTTTTGCTGGCCATGTGGAGTCTTTTTCCATTCATTAGCGAGCTGCTTTTTTCATGGACACAATTAGACAAAGGAATAAATCAGTCAACAAACTTGGGATATAATTTTGCCAATACCAGGCCATCTATGCTCTTATTTGCTTAACTGTATAAATCTTTCACCAGAATACAAATGAGGCCTGTTCCCTTAGTCTTGGGGTTGGGGAAAGAGAGGGATCAGGCCAGATCCTGCAGATTTGATGTATCCCACCAACCATGGCTGGTGTTGAGCAGTTTTCCTCATTAGAGCCACTCAGCATTCCCACTATTGAGGAATTGCTTGGAGATAATTCTTCCATTTCCTTTCTCATGTTACAGAGTGTAAGAAACATGCCCAGGACAATGGCTCCCTGAGGACTGTGTCTCTGTGAAGGGTTGTTATGTCCCTCCATGTCTGAATGTCTGCCTGCCTCACTGGTTTTGGTTGGTGGCCTTTCAGTATTCTTCCAGAGAGAGGGTTTTCTCTGCTGCTTCTTGGGCAGGGAGATGAGTATGTTCATAATGCTTCAACTTGCACCTCATGTCTCTCCTGGCACCCGCAGTACACAGCACACAGAGATGCTGTTTCTCTTTGCAAGGAGAAGTGAAAGTTTTGCTGACAGCAAGAGGCAGTGATTCTCTCCCTGGCATTCCCAGCCAGCTGTCATGCTTATCATGGGTATTCATGCCCACCCACAAGGGCAAGGGTTTGTGACTGATCTATGTTGTAGCAGGATTTGCTTCATCCTATCTTTGATTTTTTTGTGTAGCTGAAGACACTGGCCAGTTCAAATTCATACAGGAATGAGGCCTGAGAGATGCCCTTCATTGCTGGCCATTATATTTACATTTTAATGTCTCTTCAAGGCTCCTTTGGAGCTGAAAACTTGTTTTGACCCTCGGCAGGCTCCCACCCAGGGTACTTCATGTTCCTCCAGATCATATTAAGCTTCCTCTGTGGAAAAAAAAAAAAACAAAAAAAAAAAAAACAAACAAACCAAACCAACCAAAAAACAAAACCAGTTCAGAGAAGGATTCGAGATTTATTTCCCCCCCAAGTTCATTGTTTTCCAATGAACATTTTCAACTTCTGGTATTGATGTGGTTGGATTTCCCTTCCCTATGCATGTGCTAGCCTTGCTTCCCATTCCAGCAATTTAAGAAAAAATTTCTGCCCAAGTAACATAAATAGTGAGCCTTTATGATTTTTTAAAAGATGTTCTCAGGTTTCCTGCTCAATTTTTTTCAGAGATCACCAGATAAACAGGCCTCAGGAAAGACACACCAGGAAGGCAACTATAAATACTCCAAAATTGCTGAGAATAAGTGTCAAGGCTTAATGCATAGCTAATGGACTAATCTTCAATTTTACCACAAGATATCTCCTTGCTCATTTTCATGGTAGTCTCCCTGAAATATATGTCTATTCAAAGTTTATTTATCCTACGCAAGAAAACTCATTTCCTCTTCATAACCTGTTCCTCCCCAGTTTTAAAATTAATTTTGTTTTTCAAAGATGGCTTGTCAGTGACCAAGTGCTACCCATGGTGTAGTCTATAACTGAGCCAGAAGGAGCCTTTAGATAAAAGTGCAGTGCCAGCTTATGCCATCTGTCACTAGTGGTGCATTATCACTGCAGGTATAAATGAGCTGGCCCCGAGCTGCATGGCTGCAAATGTGGTGTTCAGTGGAGCATAGCTGGGAATGGGGTTAATCTCTACCATACTTAGGCTCCTGCAAACATTTTCAGTCAGACTTCTCACTCAGGGGAGAAGGAGAATTTGTCTTGTGTCAATCACAGTGGCTGTATTCTAATCAGTGCTCCTGCTGCCAATGGATTCATGGGCAAGGTTCTAAAAATCAGGCACTGAAAGTCAGGAAAATCCAAGTGCCTGTGCAGAAGACCTTGCAAGAGGATACTGAGATGGTTTGAAGCTGCCAACATCTTGGCCAGGTTTGGAGAATACAGCTCATCCCTGCATCCTTGGGGCCAGGGTACATGACCTGGCCATTGGCTTGTAAAGATGGCTTAAAACTGCCACCTTCTTGCCTTTGTCCTGTGTGGGTCAAAGTGCTGGGATGGGGAGAGAAATGATCCTGCCCTAGGACACAACTGCTGGAAGAGGATCACCAAGTCAGGCCCAGGGCATCGTTTTACTTGCAGCCTGATCTGGGATGCTAAGGAGCAGTCTTGGATGCTAAACCATCCAGGGGTGGGGGTGTACAGGAACTGATGATCACAGCTTATTCTCCATGGACACCTCCCCACCAGGCACCAAGTTTAGCTTCCTGCTTTTTAGAACTGTGCCTTTAGCCCCAGAGGCTGGAAATTAAACTCTGTGGTTTTTTACTCCACTTCCCTTGTCAATGCCAGTAAAAAGAAGCCAAATCCAAGGGAGAGCATGTGCCTGGCTAGCTGTCTGCACTGCATGCCCTGGCAGGACAAGGCTCCTGTCTGCTGGAGAGTGGCTGCATATGCAAGTCTTTGCTGCCTTGGTCGCCTTGCTGGGATCTGTTTTCAGTTGCTGCTGAGACAAACTCCCCAGTCAAATTATTGTTTTTCAAGTCCAAGGCAGCAAGGTTTCCTGTAAGTACAGCTGTACATTGCATTTGCATGAGTCGCTTTTTTGGTTGTCTCAAAACCTCCATAAACAGAATTCTGTCATTAGTTTTACTCTTCTATTCAATGTTAATTTTTACATTGTGCCTATCCAGCATAAGCCAGGGCGTGATGATGTGCTGAAGGACATTCAAAGTGCAGGCAGATCCCTTGTTTTGCTCTGAGATCAACCCAATGTCAAGCACTGATCCTTTTTCTGGGTTGGGATATGTGCTGAGTAATTGTCCTTCCTCAGTAAGAAATCCAAATTCTGGGGTCTTGCAAGTTGGATCTGCTTGAGTGCTGGTATTGCTGTAGGAAAGTAATTTTTAAAGGTGCTTTTTTCACTCAGGCTCTGAGTTTGCGAAGGGTTGTTTCTGTGCAATCTCCAGTGATATGGTACCCAACCCTGATGAAAGATTTAACCTTTGGTCTTCCCCCTCCTTTGCCAGGACGTAGAGCCTGGCAGCCTTCAGCAAATCCCAGGGCTCGGTGGTGACATGTTGAACAAAAAGGTGTGCCCAGACATCTTACAGGTCACACTCCCTAAGCTTGGTTGGAATCCTGGAGCTCTGACAACCACTCCAGATCCAAGCCAGCAGACATCTGTGCATGTCTCTGTGTTGATGTGTCTGTGTCAGCCTTCATGGTGAGTCAAGACTCTGTTTCTAAGCTGAGGTGTTACTAAATTAGAGGGACTGGGTGACATGGTCAAGCTGCAACACAAGAAATTCAGATTGGACAGTAGGAAAAACTTCTTTCCCAGATATGTAGAGAAGGGGCAAATCACTTTTCTGTGAGATTTTCAAAGCTTGCCTAGAAAAAGCCACAGCTGAACCGATGTGTTCAAGCAGCAGGGTGGATGAGCTCTCCCGTTGCCTTCTTTCTAAAAGTCCTATAATTCTGCAAAGTCAGAGCATTGGAATCTCTGCCTTCTTTTTCTCTTCAAAAGAAAGATAATCCTCAACCAGACTTCCAGGCTTCAATGAGTAAGAAAACAAACAAACAACCCCCCAAGCAAATAAGCAAGCAGACAAAGAAATAAAACCCTAAGTAAATAAGCAAGCAAACAACAAAACCCCCAAAGGCTAAAGAAGTCTTATTTATTTCATTTCCCAGTTGGCAGTCAGCCTCATGATTTGTATGGATTTAATACTTTTTTAAAAATGTTTTTGACCTTGGCTGGTAATCTGTAGTTTGAGTGGAGTCACATGTGAACGTTTGCTAGCTCAGAATTACTATAAATTTGCGGCACCTGGAAAGGAGGGAAAATGGCTCAGGAAAAGGTGATGAGAGGGGCTTTGACTACATGTAAGAGTTGTGGTTGTGTTTGTTCCAGGGTCTGTATAAATCTGCAGGAATTTGAAATAGCTGTTCTGCTGTAAGCCTCACTTGCAACCTCCAAAAATAAAAGCAAAGTGCCTTTCGTGGAGAATTAAAACAGTCCTCTCTCCTGAGCCACCAGGGGCAGTAAAAGTGAAGGAAGCGAAGCAGTTAAAAGAGTTGAAGAGCTTATCACATGCTCTTGTTTGGGGCAATGTTCACTTTCACTTTGCTGGGACACACCAGCTGATTTTTGTTGTGATGGCACTTGGGGCAGTGAGCCCACAAGGCTGAAGAACCAGATCCGTGGATTGATGCATGGCTACCTCTGATCCTGCCTAGCACGCAAGCAAAGGGAAAAGGGGAAAAAGAAAGAAAGAAAGAAACATTAAATCCGTGGCATGCTGGCTCAGCACCTTTCGCATTGTAAGCTTTGAACTGTGCACACAATTTGTGCCCCTTATCTACGCTTCACATTCGCAGCTAGCGAGTGCCTCCGTGTCATTTTCCAGCCCGTCCTGCAGCAAGCCTTTCTGTGAGCACTATGAATGCAAAAACCAGCTCTGCAGGTGAGGAAGAAGCCTCAGGAATGAGGAATGACACCCTGGGAGAGGCCAAAAGGCGGCAAGTGATCCGTGTTTCCTATGTGGTTGCAGCCCTAGACCTGACCTTTCTCTTCATGCAGATGGGAGTCATGCCTGTGAGTATGGGTTCTCTTGCTCCACAGCACATTTTCTTCAATGCCAGGCTCTGTGGCTTTCCAGCAAAGCCAGAATATAGTTTTTAGCAGGAAAGAGGAAAGATATCCTGGAAACTGAAAGGAATACTTGGTATTCTTACCAAACAGGCAGGCTGTGTCTCTGTCCAGGGTACAGCCAGGCCATAAAAGCTGATTTATTACTTGGGCTGCAGCAGCAGCCAGAACCCTTTCCTGGCCCGAGAGCTCTGGGTGAAGCTGATGTAGTTTGTGTCTTCTTGCACGGAGTGTGAGAGTGACCCATCCAACAGCTATCAGGAAGCAGAGGTTTCAGATCAAAGGTGAGTTTTTCTGAGTGTGTAATTAACCAGCTGAGTGGGATTCATTGCTTCTCACTTACTGGACTCGGTTGTATCTGATTTTATAGAATCAGTAAGGACTTTTGGTTGGAAAATACTCTTAAGGTCATTGAGTCCAGTCAGAAACCTAACACTGCCAAGTCCACCACCAAACCATGTCCCTGAGTGCCACATCTACACATTTTTGAGATATCTTCAGTAATGGTGATTTCACCACTTCTCTGGGCACTCTGTTCCAGTGCTTGACAAGCCTCTCAGTACAGAAATGTTGTGCAATATCCAATCTAAACCATCCCTGGCATAACTTGAGGTCATTTCCTCTTGTCCTATTGCTAGTTACTTGTGAACAGAGGCTGACCCCAGCTGGCTACCAGTCCCTTTCAGGCAGTTGTAGAGAGAGATAAGGTCTCCCTGCACGTCCAGGCAAAACAAAAGCATGACACAACAAAAACATGAATCAGAAATAAGTGCCCATTGGCTCTTCAAGGTGTGCATCTGTGTTTTTTGCAAGCTCAGGCTGTGGGTGTGCCATCTAGTAAAGGCAATATTTGCTCACGTTGTACTTTCATTGATTCTGGCTTGCTTGATTAAACAACAGCTCCAGAACCTTTCAATAGTTATCTCCCAGAGGGTGGCTGGGCTGTTCCAGGTGCATGGTCTGGAGGCAGCAAGGCATTTAAAACCTCCCTTATCCCTCTTAGCAGTTCAGCTGTGTTGAACTGCATAGGTAAATGTGATACCAACTTGCCAACTGGTGCAAAATGGATGATTTTGATCACATCTCCCTGTCCTTCAGGGTGTGGGAAAGAGACATTTGGTCTTTATTAAGCTGCCAGTGTCTGGCCCAATGAAGATTTCCTCTTAGGAGCAGGGAACTGAAGGAAGTGGTTGTTTGGAGTTATGATCCTCTCCGTACAGATACTGAGATTTTATTCACAAATATAGCATGCTTCTTTTCCATTTATTTGTTTTTTGGGGTTTTTTTGTGGTCTTTTTTCATTTTTAGTACTTGGCAAAGAGCCTAGGTTTGGATTCAGTGGGGTTTGGCTATCTCCAGACCACCTTTGGTGTGCTCCAGCTCGTGGGAGGTTACATTTTTGGAAGGTAAGTGAGAATGATTCTCATGACCCTTTACATAGCTGAAAAAGGCCAGGCATTTTTACATTTTCATAAAAATAATTTCATTCTGGTTTGTGGTCCTGTTGAAATGTTTGAGGATTTCATAATGAGCAAGGGAAAAATAAATGCTATTGTTAGAAATACTGCAGCATAGAAGCAGCCTTTATATTAACTTAGCTACATTTTAATGACACACATTTAAGTGTAACAATATCCTGGGAATGGGCTTAAACCACCAGACTCCTGAGCCCAGGTCCTAACAGCTTGATCCTGCAAATGTTTTATAGCCATGTGTAACCTTAGAAATGTTTTGTGACTGGGAAACAAAAAACAACAACAACAAAAATAGGAGGGTATTTATTGATGGTAAGAGCTGTCAATTACTATAAATGAAGGTGGTGTCATTTCATCAGCTGAATCTACATGCATGTTGAATACAAATTTAGACTTGCATGGACTTTAACAACTTCTAAGAATATTTTAAGAATATCTATAAACTCAAGCTATCAAAATAAGAGTGGAAAATACTTGGGTTTTCTACCTCTTTACCCCATTGAACAGGCTTTCCTGTTCCTAGTGAAATGCAAATTGCCCTAAAAAAATTGAGTGGTGGGAGAATACATTCCTAAAGACCAGGAAAAATAAAAACCTGAAAAATATGTGTATTTCAGTGACAGAAAACTAAAATGGGACTGAGAAAATCTAACTTCTCTTCTTGATCCTGCTACTGATCAGCAAATTAATAAAAGGATAGGGAGCTGGTGTGTGCTGCTTCAGTTTACCTGCAGGAAATTTACTTTCTGGCTGATGTAGATTGGGAGCTCTACAGGACCCTCTGGTACATGGAGTGTGGCACTTTGAGGATCTGATCTCAGGCCTTGCACACATCTTCAAATAAATAACAGCAACATTTGATTCTACATTACTGCTTGGCAGGAAATGCATTCCTAAGAATGGAGATGGTGCAAAGGGCCCACTTTTAATGCTTTTCCTATTAATACGCAAACCTAGAGTAGTATTTCTGTCCTGGATCTGGTGCCGTCTGAAATCTGGTTCTCCTCCGTGCGCGTCATTCGCTAATATCCAGAGTTGCTGGTGAAGGGAAGGAAAATGGCAAACCAGAATCTGACTGGGACTGAAGGTGTCCTTAGCCAGATTGAAGCCAAAATTTGCAATGTAGGTTTGAGATAAAAACGATTTTTCTAGACATGAGACTACTTTGATGTCAGTGTAGGGACAGATTAAATAGAAAATAGAAAGAAAGGGGATAAGAGAGAATGCATTTCTTAGCTCAGTTTTTCATGTACTTGCCTGATGCTCCTAAACAGACATGAAAAGATAAAGCACTGTGTTTACTTTTAAGGAACAAAACAAAAAAATCCCCACACCAACAATGTAATAATTTGTGGTCTTTAGGTTACAAACAGCAAATGTAAACTGCCCTGGCTTACATGTAAACAGCGAAGTTTTGACCTGTACCTCTCCCTCAGCACAAAACCTTTTAATTTCTTAAGCTTAGCTCTGTTTGTAGACCAACGCTGACATTTTTAGGGGGTTGTTCCTCTTAGTGTAAACACAACTAATTGCTATGCAAGGTAATATTTGTCTGCTATCTGTAATAGGCAGCTTAAATAAAGGGAAGGAAGAAGGAACTGTAATGAGAAACTCTATCTAAGGCCTGTTTTATAGTCATCTTAGCCCCTGTTGCTCAGAACCCTTTCTGTGGTGTTCTCAGACTTTGTCCAGCTTAAGCTTTTCGGAGTTGAATTACAGCAAAGAGTTAGAGCTGGATCAAAACCTGATCTGACTGGGGTTTTTGCCTGTTTGTGTTTTGGGGCTTGGGGGGTTTGTGGTTGTTTGTTATTTTTTTTCCTTAAATAGGAGCAAAACTGATTTACTATTGAGAAGTAATTTTTTTTTTTTTTTCCACCTAAATAGAAAACTGACAACCTTGTGCCATTTCTGTGCCAGGTTTGCAGACCAGTTTGGTGCCCGAGCAGCTTTAATTCTCTCCTGTGCATCTGGAAGCATCTTCTTCCTGCTTATGTCCCTCTCCACCAACATCCCCCTCCTCTTCCTCTCCAGGCTGCCAGGAGTGTTCATGCATGGGATACCAGGTAAGGTCAGTCAGGGATGAGTAGCTTTCCAAATTGCTTTTCCTGCCTGATTCCTCCCCTTCTTGCTTGTTTTAGAGGAAGTCAACATGTTCAACAGCATGAAGGAAGGCAGGAGGAACATGTGATGGTCCTCAGGGGTGAAATGGTGGGAACATGAAGCAGCAGGTGTACTGCCTGTGGGAAGCAGTGCTTATTAGTCTGAGTTCCAGTAACATCTTCCTGTAGAGTCTTGAGGGAATTGTTTGGCCTTGGTCATCCAGACATGGGTGCAAGTCACTTGCTGGCAGCAGTGTTACCCCAGACTTTTCAGCTGCCTTCTTGCAACCAGGATATTTTACACAAAAGCTTTTCCCTTTCTCATGGTAAAATGAGCACACTGGTAAAAATTAAACATTATTACAAAAATACCTTCCATTACCCACCAAGCTTTTCTGTTTTGGCTGATGTTTCCTATATTTTTCATGTGAAAGACATAAACTTCTAGTAGCTGAAGTCCATGTAACTCATGCAAGATGAATCAAATTGATAATGCTTCCTGTCACTTGTGAAGTGGTTTATTTGAGTGGTTTGAATGGTTCTGTTTCTCATGACTGGTGGGCTGTTGTGCTCAAAACTGATGGACTATGGGGCTCCCAGAGGAGATTGACAGTGCTCATTTGGAAGCCCTCTTCCATGCAAAATATGAAAATTAAAAGCTGGGGAAATTGCCTCTAACCAGAAACCATCCCAGAAAAGTTTTAATTGGAAAAAAAAAAAAACCAACAAAACTAAAAACCCAAAAAGCTCTTAATGGCTTAGCAATAAAACCATGGGAACCACTGGGGCATCTGCTCAAACCCTGTGGTAACGTTCTTTTAAGGGATATTTTTCCCACCTGCAGGTGCTCAGAAGGTTATTACAGATATGACCACTCCTTCCCAACGTGCTGGTGCTTTAGGGAAGCTGGGCTTTTGCTTTGGAGTGGGCATCATTGCTGGCTCTGCCGTGGGAGGTGTTCTGTCCACCAAATTCGGGTGAGTGATCCACTTGTTTGGTACTGATTTTGTTGCAATCATTGAGGGAGCTGCTAAGGGATATTTTGCTGCCCTGCAGCTTTTGATGCTGTTTTACTCCTGGTGGCAGTAGAGGACCGTACCAGAACTCAACATTTTGCTTTCCATGCTGCTACAAAGAATACTCCCACTGTTTTCAAGGAGATCTTGTTGAAAATCTCACCTTCTGCCTACTTAAATACATTTAAAAACTAGATTGAGGAGTGGATTTTATCTGTTTCTCTGTTTTATCTGTATCTCCTGATTGTCTTGTCTTTGGAGCTGAGTGTGCTGAAAAGCAGCTTTTAAGAAATGATATTGTACAACTGAGAAATGGAAATTGGGAGCACTGTGAAACTTGTGGAGAAAATGGTGTCTTTGGGGGATGCTCAGTATAGGGTAAGACTGTGGGAAAGGGGAAGGCAAGCTTGGGACAGTGGGGGAAGAGAGTGAGGAAGTGTAACCCTGTCACAGCAAGATGAAGCACACACCTGACAATTCCATGTGGACTTTCCACAGCCTGGCACACTACAGCAGGCTGCCACCTTCTCTTACATTCTGCAGTAGGGAATAAATGCTCAAAAGGTATGGTGCGTCAGAGAATTTTGCAGGCAGTGAAGTGCATGTGGCTGTAATCTCCTTGGAGGGTTCCCCAGCATTCCTCTGGTGGGGGAAAAGAGTCCCTGGTGGATATTCAGGTTTTTGTTTTGCTCTGCTTCTCTTTACTATGGATGTTTGTCTCTGCAGACTCATGTTAAAATAACTCTACAGCATAGGATAGATGGTAAATATCACTCCCATCCTTGTCCTAGTGCCATAAGCTCTGTGGACTGTGAATGGTCATGCATCTCCTGGGTGTTTGCACGGGGCACAGTGAATTATGATGTGGGGTGTTGTGTGTTGCTCTCTGAATCCCACTGTGCATTCAGGTGCTGCAGTGATGCAATTTACTGTGTGAAATCCTTTCATAGGTTGAGGAGAACACTGTAACCTTGTAACCTTAGGGAGCAGCCCTAAAACCTGTTGGCTGCTGTACCTTGGCAGTGTTGGCCTAATGACACAGAACTGATCAGGAGGATTCATTTTGTAGTTATTACATGGTTACATAAAATTAAAATTGGAAACATACTGATCAGCATTTAAAGGTATTTATAGATGTTTCAGGATGAGTGCTGGTTTTAATAAGTATTATTTTTAACCAAATGCAGTGATTATAGACCTTTATGTGTTAACTGAAAGTAAAGGTTACCTCAGTTCTCAGCTTTGGTTATATGCCCATATCTAAACATCAATATAGAAGCGGCATTGCTATCTAGCAAAAATTTATGGGGTTTCACTTTCCAGTGTGTGCATCAGTCACAGGTTTATAGAAAAGCAGCAGGGGGAGGGAACCTCTCCTGTGTCATGACACAGTCAGGGACCTTGACTTGAAGGCAGTGTAGCTTTTGCATGTTAGGGCTTGGTGCTGTCAGACAACGGGAGGCTTCCAGACTCCTCGCTCACTTTGAAAGCTTCTGGACCTTAAACTTTGTGTCTGCAGCACAACGCTGAGACAAGTGAACCGTGTCCGTAATTATGGGATAGTAACACAGCTGCGTGTGGAAAAGGAGCTGGCTCCTGGCTTTCCCGTGCAGGGCTTGTTCCCTTGCGTCCTGCGGAGGGCAGCTCCAGCCCGCTGCTCCTGCCCGGCAGCCGAGAGAGAGCCCGCGCTTGGGGCTGCTCTGCAGCAGGGCTGGGGAAAGCAGCACCTGGTCTTCTCCGTGAGGATCTGTGCATCCTCCTGGAAGGACCATAGGAATTTCTGTTGGCACGGGAGGAGCTGTACCGTGCTGGCAGCGCCCTCCTGAGCACCCTGCTGCGCACAGAGGGTTGATCCGATGTGGCAAACAGCAGCTTCAGGCTTAGGAAGCCGCTCCGGGTGTTCGGTAGCGAGGCTTGCTGCAGCCAAACCCCACTGCGCTTAGATGTCTGCCAGATTTCAGTGCAAAGATTAGAGGAACAATCCACCGGGCTTTTGGCTGGTACCGGTGGAGAGCAGGAATTCAGCTGACAGCAGCTCTGTGCCCGGAGCATCGCCATCCCCTCCGGCTGTGTCTGCCGCCCCGACCTGGGGAAAGGAGCGGGTGCTGCCCTAGGGACATGCCCGAGGCTCCTTGGCCTTGCTGCTGTGTCCCACAGCCTGGCTGCTAATCCTCCTCCTTCTTTCCCACATTTGTACAGGAAGGCTCCAGCTGTACTTGGAGCTGCGTAATCACTTCCATTTTTTTTCCCCAAAAGAATGACCCGATCACCTTGCATTGAAAAGAATAATTTCTGCTATGTCATGGAAGAGCAAAGCTGGAGATTTCTGTCCACTCTGTGTTCTTTGCTTTCCCTCACCACAAAGCTGGCCAACATTCCCCATGTGTTGTTGACAGCATTATTCATATGTTAGCAGTGCTTTGTATACAAGAGAGGGAATAGAAATCGGTCTCAGTTCCTCAGCTGATGTCATTTTGGTGTTATTCTTCTGTATTGTATTTACCATTGATGTATTTGACCTAAAGAACTGGTCTGTTACTGTTTTCATTGTTGGAATAATATTTGCCAACCCTTATTAATTAAGGGAACCCTGGGGAAGTTGACTGTCTTGTTCTGATTTGCATAGGATTTTTTGGGTGTTAGATCCTGACCTCCACTGTTAAACTGTAACCACCAGCTCCAGCCCTTCCTCTTCTTCTCTTTGAAGTGCTACATTTCCCCCCCATGTTTTCCAAAACTTTGCTGGTCAGGCAAATTTCACCACCTGAGGATGAAGTATAAGCCAATTTATTAACACAAGCAGTTGTAATCCTAACCATTTGGAAAGTGTTTTCCTGGTTTTGTGTGTTTGTTTTGGGGCTTTTTTTTTGTGTGTTTTTTTTTTGTTGTTTTGTTTTGTGTTGTTTTTTTTTTGTTTGTTTGTTTGTTTTTTTAAATTGGCGTTTTCTGGTAATTGATCAGTTGGGTCAATGTTGTGGATATAAAATACCTTCAGCTTGAAAATAACTCCTGTAACTCAGCTGAGGGCTGCACAGGTTCTTGGGGAGTGCAAACTCCCTAACAGTTCATCCACAAAAGGTTACTAAGAAAAGGAGTTCTGTTTGCACTCCGCAGAGGTTCTCCCTCCCTTTCTGCAGAGCTGTTGTGGGGCCATTTGCTGCAGGTGAGTGCACCCCTAAAGGGAGGTGGCTTGGTGTTTGCAGCAGACTTTTGTGGCAGCCCTGTGGGTGAAAGGTTGGAAGTAGGCAGCTGGATTTGTTTTCAAAAGTGGAAAGATGAGTCTAGGTAGTTAATTACAGAGATTTCATCCTTTCTTCTGGGACTATGATTAATTACATTTGGCTGCTTTTCTCTTTCCTTCTAACAAGGCTGTAGAGAATCTCTGCTGCATCACCCAAGAATTGTTTGCTTTCTATGGACACGGAGAAGTTTCTTCATTTTAGTGACTCAGCTGTAGGCTTAAATCTCTTGGAGCAATTATTCTTTTGATTACAGCAGGCTTTGGGGATAGTTTGTTGGGATCCCCCTGGCTCTGCTATTATCCATCTTCCTTATAGGGAAAAGAAGGAGCTTGTTTGCCTGGAGTAGGGAATTGTACTTTTTTTTTATTATTTTAAAAACCTATTTGAACAAAGTCCTCTGGCAGGGAATTTCTCATGGCTTCGTGGCAGAGTGGAAAAACTGTGGGTGTTGAAAGGACTGAAGGTTGGGAGCTGGGAAGGCGGGTGGGAGCATGGCAGAGGGTGAAAGGGTTATGCTCCATTTCGGGACAAAGCAGGGCATTCTGCTTCTGGGAGCTGCTCCTGCTCCCTTCCAGCAAAAACTCTGATGTTTCTCTGCCTGGGATGATGCTGATCAGCCAAGCAGCAAGGACTGGTGACGCTTGTACAGGCATTGCTTTGTCCTTTGTGTCAAGGCACTTGGGAGAACAGGAGGTGGAGTCTGCTTGCCAGCAAGCAAGTCATCCATAATCTGCACCATGGTCTGTCACTGCTGGTTGAGCTCTGTGGTGCCCTGGCAGGAATGGGGACAGAAGAGGAAATAGGCTGTTTGTCAAGGAACTGACAGCTTGGGAAAGGTGCAGATGCCCTCAGCTGTGGCCTTCTCTGAAAAAACAAAACAGAATCTAAGGGTTTTTTCTTATCACTTCCTCTGCATGGCAGCTGTCTTAATTTCGAAGACATGGCCCTGGAGTTTATCTGTAAATTCTGTGATAGAGGATCATGGATATTATCCTTCAACAGCTTGTTGAAGAAGTCAGGTTTAGGGCACTTGTGTCCTCTATTCCCACCACCAGAATTTTCTAGTTCTGATAACTTGTTTAACCTATTCTTGAACCTAAGAAATACCTCAGTGCACTTTTGGTGGAGTTCATCTAATCTTAGATATCTACAGGGGGGACAACTACACCTGAATTTGCTGTTCACACTCTGTGGTTGACAGAGAGGCACAGGTGGTTCTACAGCATCCTTTACCTCCTCATGAAGCAGTCCTGAAGCAATTCAGGGAACAGACTGCTTCCTAAGCTTTTTCTTGCTTGACCCCCAAGTCCCAGGACACATTTCTGGCCATCAGCACACTGTACCTGTGGTCGAGGTCCTGGAGTTTGATGCTGGATTGTGAACTCACCAAAAGCCACCAGGATGCAGGTTCTGAGTAGTTTTCTGTCTGTGCTGCAGTCATACAACAGATAGCTCTGCACTGAGCTCTTCCCCAGCTCTTCCTTCCTGCAAACCTCTAACCTGCCTCCCACACCTAGGCCACCAGTTTTTAAGTTTGGGTCCCCTGGCTTTCTGCTGTGTACCCACTGGAAGATGGCACTGTCACTGCAAAGGTCCCCTTCTTCCCCCTTAGCCCATCTTCAGCAAACCTGGCTCTTCTGTGCTCTCCCTACAACCCCTGGTCTGAAGTGCAGTGCAGGGAGGTGTGATGATGGAGCCAAGAGCTCCTCCTTGGTCCTT